GACGTCCGAGAGGGCTCGGAGCCGTAGCGGCCGAGGCCCGGACGGCAGCTCGGGCGCCGGACGGGCCGCGGCGAGGAGGCGGAGGTCCAAGCCCCGGGAGACTCGGCCGAGTCTGAGGGACGCGCGTCAGGCCTTGGAGTGTACCCAACCACGTGACCTGTTGTATCGGCCGTTGTACACTGACCCCGGCGGGAGCTCGAGCGTCCGCGAGAACATCTCAGAACCACAGGCTCACACGTCCAAGTGCGACCCGTACGGTTCGGAGGTCCAGTCTGACGTTTCTACCGCGCTGTTCAGACGCTTGTTTAAGGAAAAGTAGTACGACCCGGGAAGTTCCTTCCCCCTTACCGCCTTGCCTGACCTTAGCCTCAGTGAAGATCACAGGCCCCCGACAGGGAAGCCTTGGTCCCACCGGTTCCAGGGCCCTGATGAAGTTCGTGTAGGTTTTTGCAGAGTCCTCTTCTGTACCTTGTTTCTGTGAGTCACTTTTCTAAGGAAGGTCGTGCCAGACTTCTCTTCTTAGTTGAATTTAAGTCCCTTAGGTTGAATAGTGCTTTTAGAGTGCACTGATTACTGTCATTTTTAGATAAGAAAGTTTATTAGGAAAGGAATTCACTTTAAAAGCAAGTCATCTCTGGGGCAGAGTGACTGATTACTGCAGCTTCACGCAGAAACCTGCCAGTGGCAGTATCAAACTGAACTGGTGTGGATGCGCCCCCAGCCCTGCCTTTGCTGCTGCCTTGGCCCACTACCACATGAGTACCCTTCTGAAGTGTGAAGTGGGTGCGAGTGGCCTGAGCTGGTTATGTAATTTAGACTGGCCAGGGAATCTATTTTCATGTCTACTTCTGTCCACTCTGTAACTAGTCTAGAAATGATTTGTAATCACTTTGAGTGCCCTGAACCCACAGGTCCGTGTCAGGCATACGTCTTTTTTTTTTTTTTTTGGTCGGTCGTGGGACTTGAACTCTGGGCCTGGGCTCTGTCCCTCAGATTGAGCTCTTCAGCTCAAGACCATGCTCTCTACCACTTGAGCCACAGCGCCACTTGAACCTTACAGATAGATGTTCCTGCCTGGGCTGGCTTTGGAACCGCCATCTTCAGATCTCAGCCTCCTGAGTAACTAGGATTACAGGTGTGAGCCACTGGCACCCAGCAGGCATGCTTTTTTGGGGGGGGGTGGGGGGAGGGTCCGGTCATGGGGCCTGAACTCGGCCTGGGCGCTGGTCCCTCAGCTCTTCAGCTGAAGGCTAGTGCTCTGTCACTTGAGCCACAGCGCCACTTCCAGCTTTTTTCTTTATGCTTATGTGGTGCTGAGGAATCGAACCCAGGGCCTCATGCATGCAAGGTAAGCGCTCTACCACTGAGCCACCTTCCCAGCCAGGCATGCTTTTTCTACTGTGTTGAAAGCTGTGTTGTCAAACATGGTGGAGGGGAGCACCTCTGGAGGTGTCTTTGGGAGTTAGACCAGACATTATGTCTGCTTCTGGTTGTCCGTATTTTCCTGATGTGGAGTTGTGTTTTAATACTGGTCCAGTACTCCAGCTGCTTCAGAGTGTGTCAACCTGCTCTTCAGCCTTGGAAGCTCTGGAGTGTTGTGCTGGGGTTATTTAGGGGAGGTGCTGGGGATGAACTCAGGACCTTGAGACTGCTAAGCTGGCACTCTTACCACTTGAGTCACACCTCTGTCTGTCTGTCTGCCTGCCTGCTTGAACTCAGGGCCTGGACACTGTCCCTTAACTTTTTTGTTTGAGGCTATAGCTGTACCAATTGAACCATAGCTCCACTTGCGGTTTTTTGGTGATGAATTGGAGAGCTCATCAGATCTCAGATTTCAGCCTCTTGAGTACCTAGGAATACAGGCATAAGCCACTGGTGCCCAGATTTAGGTTATTTTTCAATAGCTTGGTACTAGTCTTCTGTTTCTGCCTCCTACATAGTTGATATTACAAGTATGATCACTGTACCTGGCTTGTTTGCTAAGATACGGTCACCTAGCTTTTAAGCCTTCAAACCTCAATTCTCCTGATTTCCACCTCCCAAGTAGCTGGGTTGCAAGGGGAAAACATGGAGTCAGTGTATAATCACTATCTGATTTCAGTACATTTTCATCATCATAAGAGAAAAGCTTGACCATACAAACACAGCTTTTTCCCACTTCCTAGCCTCTAGCATATTTGCCTGTTTTGGACATTTTCTCTAAATAGAATTGTGCAACATGTGACCTTTTTTTTTTTTTTGTCGGTTGTGGGCCTGAACTCTGGGCCTGGGCACTGTCGCTCAGCTCTTCAGCTCAAGGTTAGCCCTCTACCACTTAAGCCACAGAACCACTTATGGCTTTTTCTGCTTATGTGGTGCTGAAGAATCGAACCCAGGGCCTCATGCATGCAAGGCAAGCACTCTACCACTGAGCCACCTTCCCAGCCCAACATGTGACCTTTTATACCTGGCTCTTTCAGTAAGCATGTGTTTGATATTCAAAACCACATTAAGACACATGCCATTTCTTTTTATGGCTCAATAATATACTTTTAAAATCAATATACTAGATTTTGTTTTATAGCCATGACAAATTTTTTCCTAGTTGTGTTGCATTTTTAAAAAATAATTTTGTTATTCTCAAGGTATTATATAGAAGGGTTACCAGTTCATAAGTCAGGTAATGAGTACATTTCCCTTTTGGGCCATGTTACTTCGTAATTTCCTTCTCTTTTTCCCAGTTCTATGACATAATTTTAAAATACTACATTGATAGCTATTCCATAGTAACTATAGGAAGGGTGCTCCTAATGGGACCATTGTAGGTGGTTGCATATTTGTCTTTTAAGGTTTTTGAGTGTCTCTTGCATTTGCCCCATTTTTGGTTGGCTGTTGGCCTCATAAGAAGGTGCTAATTTTATCCTCTGCCAGTTGACTGGTAGCACGAGATCTCTTAAGTTTTATTAAAATCTATATTGTCGGGCTGGGAAGGTAGCTCAGTGGTAGAGTTGCTTGCCTTGCATGTATGAGGTCCTGGGTTCGATTCCTCAGCACCATATAAGCAGAAAAAGCCAGAAGTGGTGCTGTGGCTCAAGTGGTAGAGCGTTAGCTTTGAGCAAAAGAAGCTTAAGGACAGCACCCAGGCCCAGAGTTCAAGCACCAGGACTGGCAAAAAATAAAATAAAAATCTATGTTGTCTGAAGAAAACTACAGCCAAGAGTTATCTGCCTGTTTTTGTAAATAGTCTTAATGGAACACAGCCAAACCCATCCCTGTATGTTGTCTGAACTGTTGCTTTCACCTACAGTGTTACTGTGAGTCATTGGAGGGTCTCAGGACCTCAGGTCCCCACAACATACTCAAGCGTTGTGTGTAGATTGTATCCTCCTATCAGATTGTACACTGTGCTTTATGTTGCCTTGGGAGAGAGATTGGAATGTGTTCACACTGCTTATTACTGACATTTTGGTGACAAATGGATACTGAGGGCCCGTTGCACGTTTTTTTCATGAGCTATGGAAGCCATTTCCCTCAGGTTTCAGACCAGTACCACTTCTCAGCTATTGGTACAAAAGATTTTCCTAACTAATAACATTTTTTTTCTTTGTGGCAGCTGGGAAGCTTGAAGCCTGCTTTTAAAAGCCTACTTTCAGCCCTTGTACATGGTATGCATGTCTTTATTCTAATTCTAGCCCTGGCTTTGTTCTCTTCTTCCCTTTTCAATTTCTTCATCTATACCTTTCATCTACATTTGTGTATTTCTGTAAGGTACTTATTTTGTGTTTCTGTAAATTCTCGTTTTTATTTGGACAAAGTTGAGTATAATCCTTTATAGAAAAAAATCTGTATATCCAGGGGGCTGGGAAGGTGGCTCAGTGGTAGAGTGCTTGCCTTGCACTCATGAGGCCCTGGGTTCGATTCCTCAGCACCACGTAAGCAGAAAAAGCCTGAAGTGGCACTGTGGCCTAAGTGGTAGAGCACTAGCCTTGAGCTGAAGAGCTGAGGGACAGTGTCCAGGCCCAGAGTTCAGGCCCCATAACCAACAAAAAAAAAAGTATATCCATCCTCGAAGCTGGGGATGTAAACATATAGCTCAGTGATAGAGTGCTTGTGTACCATGTATGAAGCCCTAGATTGATGCACTAAGGGATAAACAGCAATTAAAAAAAAAAAACTCTAGTGGATTTTGGAGGCTGTTTTGACTTTGAATTTGAAAGCCATTCACTCTCAATGACTTTCATCAAGTTGTCTTGGAGAAGTGGAAACTTAACTACTCTAATCTGGAAGTATGAAGATGCTATTCTGTTTCATTATACACTATATATAGTAAGGTTACTTGGCAGTTTTTGTTTGTTTATTCACCTACCCACAGCCTTTGCTCTGTTTTTCTTTCTGCTTCACATATGCAGACCTCCTGTTACTAGCATTATCACTTTCATTTTGTCATAAACAGACTTATGCCTGTTTGTGGCACTTTTGTAAATTTCCTCTAAAGAATCCTTGGTTGTATGTGGTTCTGGGAAAAACTTGAAACAATGACATTTCTAAATGGCACAACCTCCTATGCATTAGATCATGAACTTAATACTGGAAGCCAAAGACCCTGCACATGCACTGGGTGATGACATCAGCTCTCTGCCTTGTCAAGAGCTAGATATATGTTAATAGAGACTGCTAAAATGTTCTCATAATTTTTTGAAGATTTACATATTTGTTAGTATAGATATGTTTCAGTTTTCAGAAGACTATGTAGTCTTAACTGATGAATAACAGGGTTGGCTTCCTATAATTCTGAAATGAATCTGAGTTGCCCAACAACTCAGAAATGTTGTCCAGTTAAATACAGGCCTTAAAAATAGAGTGGCTCCACTGGGTTTTCTGCTTTTGCATCCCAAAGCATAGGCTCAAGTCGTCTCAGAAGGACAAGGTCCGCCAGTTTATGGCATGCACTCAAGCCGGGGAAAGAACTGCTATCTACTGCCTCACTCAGAATGATTGGAAACTAGATGAGGCCACAGACAGCTTCTTTCAAAACCCAGACTCGCTCCTTCAGGAGTCCATGAGGAACACTGTGGACCAGAAGAAGCTGGAACAGTTGTATGGCAGGTACAAAGGTAAGAGGTGAAATGCAGTTCTGTGTGTAATGAGCAGGGACTGTTTTACTTCCAGTTTCTAGTGCTGCCTTGGGCAGAAGAGCTGCTAACTGTTCTCTTCCTGATATCCAACTCTAGAACTCCCTCTTAAGAAAGGACATGGGGATAGGGAGAAGAAGGTTGAATGTAGTAGGCAAATTCTTGCCCTCTACTTTCTTGGCTGTGTCACGGTGAGAACAGTCAGAGAGAAACTGAGGCTTTACTGGTTAATACTGTGGGTTGTTTATTGTTTAGATTACTAGAATTTCAGGTCAGGCTTTGACCTTGCTAGGCTGGCATTTTCCCACTTGAGCCATACCCCCAGCTCTGCTTTTTACTAGTTATTTTGGAGTTGTATTCTAGCAAACTTTTCTCCTAGGCTTGTGCCCCACTGCAGTTCTTCAGATCTCAAGTACCTGAGTAGCTAGGATTACAGGTGTAAACCCAGCCAATACTATGGGTTTTTTTTCCCCAAGTGCTTACGTTGGAGCTAAAATGTTTATTTTTTTCTTTTTTCTTTTTTTGTCGGTCGTGGAGCCTGAACTCTGGGCCTGGGC